AATTACGTACCTTATCAACTTGTCTTTTTACCTATGTATAAGAGTCCACGTTGCAAATATTGTGTTCACATTTGCATTGTTACACCTTAACATTGATAAGTATTCATTAAAGGCACTCATTATTATATAGAATAATGTTATGTAACGTAACATTATTGGTGCAACAGTATCAATTGATGTGACTATAAGTGATAAGACATTTTAAATGTGACTCGTTTCTTCTACTGCTAAAGTGATCTATGAACAAATAACACTTGTATGCCATCTCAATTGATACTTAGCACTAATTTTCCTAAAATAGTATTGCTCATTTATATAAGAAACACACATAGCTCAAAACTTAAAAACTATTTTTGTTTAATATTATATCTGATTAAAATTTTTAGTTTATAGAATATTAACGTCTAGCTCAACTAGTAAAGTGAAACTTTAGTAGATCTTTGATTTAAATTTGAGTATCATTTAGAGGTAAGAGTTATATTTAACCCAAAGAGAGAGAGAGAGAGAGAGAGTGCAAATTGCAATGAGTAATGTCATTACGAGTGGAAACCATTATCGTTATTTTAACATGGTAGTATGTTTTGGATTCATTATTTAACGGAACCGTGATATATTTTAATGCATTGAATTGTGAATCAAGAACACATTGTCACTTACAATGATGATATGCTGGTAATGAAGAGAATTATTCAACCAGAATATTGCGATGATAATAAACACTTTAATTTAGTCAAGTTCTCCATTGATCCAAATATATTTGGGTAATGGAATTATGAACTCACAATTCCTTCCAAGCATATAATGTACAATCATACTTGATGTACATCATAATTTACACTTTGTCATGTGGCAAAGTGTCATTCGACGGTTAAAAATATATATATATATATATTCCATCCAATCACTTTTTTACAAGGTAAATGTCAACAAATATGGTACAAATGGCAAAATCCATAAATGTATTCAGCATGTACCTTACCCAAATGGGTCCAATTACTGACCCAGTTGGCACGGTGTCCAACATTATTATTTTGAATTTTTGTTACTCATTTTGCTCAAATGTACAATCATGCTTGATGTACATCATAATTTACACTTTGTCATGTGGCAAAGTGTCATTCGACAGTTAAAAATATATATATATTCCATCCAATCACTTTTTTACAAGGCAAATGTCAACAAATATGGTACAAATGGCAAAATCCATAAATGTATTCAGCATGTACATTACCCAAATGGGTCCAATTACTGACCCAGTTGGCACGGTGTCCAACATTATTATTTTGAATTTTTGTTACTCATTTTGCTCAAGAGCTTCTCACGTTAACTTTATAAGGTGCTTGTATGGCACAGATTTATAGCCTGTTTGAAAGGAATTTTTTATCTTAAAAGATTATTTTTTTTTTTATCGTTATTTCACTATTTCAATTGTAATTTTTGACTTTTCACTATTTCAATTGTAATTTTTGACTTTCTCTCACAAGTGAACCCCACTTTTCTTCTAATGGTTAAAAAATCAATTCTCAAAATCCCCCCAAACGGGGCCTTAAGTTCTAAGTACTTTTAAATTATAAATCATAAATAATAAGTCGTGAATTCTACAAATATTTATAATCAATTTAAACAATAATTTAAAATTACTTAAAGTCACAATTGGATGGATGGCTCACCATACTCGCAGGCAACCCATCAAAGCCCAAGGCTCCGGCTGCCCGTGGGTCATTTCATGAGCAGCCAGGACCCATGTCGTGCTCAAATCTTCACCATGCCGGCCAAGCCAAACCAAGCCCATTAGCCAGGCCTTTAGGCTCGAAAAGATAAACAAGCTGGCCTAATTTTGTCGTATTAAATATTTTTTAGATCTTTTATTGCAACTATGTCATGTTGTGTTTGTAATTTGCCGTAATTTTTGTAAGATATATATTTTTGATAACTTTTAGATTTTTTCTAAGTAAAAATTGATTATCAACGATCCAAGCCACGAGGCGGCTTGACACAAATGCCTGAGTTCATATAGGAATTTTGCTAAACCGAGATGAGTCTAGATTTGATCTCATCGACTAGCTGCTCTCGACAACTCATTGCCACTCTTAGCCTTGCAAAACATGCTCTATAGTAATAGTCCAATTAACGTTCATATTTATTAGCCTAAGAGTCTATAGCCAAGGTGAGCCTAGAGTTTGATCTCATCGACTAGTTGGGCTCGACAACCCATTACCACTCTTAGCCTTGCCAAACATGCTCTATAGTCTAATTAGCGTTCATAATAATTGTCCTAAGAGTTCATATGTATTGTCCTAAGTAGGTGCAGAGTTAGGACTTAATGCTAAGGGGCAAAAAATTTTAAAAATTTAATGTAAGAATAAAATTTATATATAATAAGAAAAATTCATAATATAAGGCTTTCTCCTTCTCAAACAAGGCTCCGCCCCTTTTTTGAGCTTTCTAAAGGGCATGACCTAAAGAGTTTTTGTCTCTCCGAATCATTAGTTTCTGAGAGGTTAGAAGTATATCTTCACTTGACAGAACAAGAATGCGCATAAATTACTTAGTTTTCGAGACCCCTTTATAAGTTCTATTCATATATCTTCTGATCACCAAAGCTGCTCCTTTTAAGGAGCAAGCTATTGTAATGTAGCAGGGGAATCCGCAGTTTCGGCTACCACTTCTTACTCAATCTATTACCAAGCCACTGTCCAATCATTGAGGGAGCCGTCGAACCAACATCTTCAAATCATCCAAGCTTCTCTTGACGTCTTTCCACCTGAATGCTAGAGATTCATATGTCAATCGTTCCATATGTGATGTTGCAAGCCACGATCAAATACGTCTTGTTTATCTTGATGAAATGAGTGGAATAGCTATCCCAATGCCAAAAGCCAAAATTTAGGACAAATTGAAAGCATTAACTCCACCCTCTTTAGCATGAGATTTTGAGTCCCGCATGTCTACCATTTCACTACCAAGGCAGCTTGAAAGTGAATCCTATTCCATGAATATGAAGGAAGCGTCACGTAGCATCTTTAGTTCGTGACGTAAGCAGCGTGAGCTCTTCAGTTCGTAAGTTCTCGAGCTACTATGCTTTAGCCTATCAACAAGGCATAGCTGATAAGACTGTATGGGGCATATATATAAGACTGTACGAGTGTACGATGTCCCACTTAATATTCTTTATCTATACAAATATTTTGTTTTGTTGGACAGTTATCAGTTGGAGGAAAATTAATAAATTACTTACCCTAAATCCCTAATCCAAGTCGGCAGAGTCGCAGATGGTGAGACGACGGTCGGTGGTTTCGCGGCTACGGGCAGGGGCGAAGGTGAAAAGATTTAGGGATTTTATTTTTGGGAATTATTTCAATTGGGAATAGAGGATTATATGTGAAGTCGTGAATAAGAAGAAGAAGAAGAAATGGGACAATGGATATTATCCAGGGAAAAACTCAGAATTCAGCTTTTAAGTATGATCAATTCAAATTTTAGGCCCTAAGTTTAAAAGTTCAAAAATCAGGTTTTTATTAATCACTACTCCTATAAAAGAGAGGATCCACTTTCATTGTTCATTCTTGAAACCTCCATTTCACACCTATCCAGTTCCCACTGTTCATCAACTGGATTGCCTTATACGACGCCGTTTGGGTAGGAAGAAAAACACCTAAAAGGAACTTTGATTGCCTCCACTTCTACAAAGGGGCTCTCGATTTCTCATCCTCCACACAAAGCACTCCTCATAAATCGATTAGCCTCTGCCACAATAAATCAGGTTAATTACATGAATGGTCACTGAACTTTGTCTTATGTTACTACTTAGTCACTGAACTTAAAAATGTAACTCAATGGTCACTGAACTTCGTCAAGTGTTACTAATTCATAACTAGACTTTAAAATGTATCTCAATGGTCATCGAACTTTGTACCGTGTTACCCATTCGTCACTCAAATGGAAGAATTTGTTAAATCTAACAAATGGCGTCAATTTGAGTGACGGGTGGGTAACACGGTGCGAAGTTCGGTGATCATTAATATACATTTTAAAGTTCGATTATGAAGTAGTAACACTTAGAGAAATTCAGTGACCATTAAGTTACATTTTAAAGTTCAGTGGCTAAGTAGTAACATAGGGCAAAGTTTAGTGACCATTAAAATATATTTTTAAATTGAATTATTAAGCCCTTGTTTGAGTCTCATCTTTCTATATATAAAAAAAAAATATTTTTAAACAGTGATTTGATATCGTTCAACCACACATTCTTCAATAAAATAATATTACACGCAAATCTAAAAATTTTTCTCATTTTTTAACTACACATCTCCCATCAATTTACTATTTAAAAATTCATTTTATCCCTCAAATTAGGGATCAAACAAGGGCTAAACTTCTCAAATCGACCTCTATGAGAGAAGAAATCAAAGAAAATGAAGGGAAAAAAGAGGAAACAGAAAATCAGAGACCTATAAATTAAATAAAAATAGAATTATTGCTAATATTCATTCATCATGGTGAAAAAGTATGTTTGATTTTTAGATCAATTGGCATCAGTTCACCGTAACTCAAACTTCGCATAAATAGATTGAAAAAGAAACAGTTAGAACACTAAAAGAAATTGAAAAAGAAAAATTAAATAAAGTACAAAAATGTTAGTGCCAATGTAACTGAGGTCGATTTGATTTTTCAACTATATTACTACTTAGTAATTCGTTAAGTGTTACTACTTCATAATCGAACTTTAAAATGTATCTCAATGGTCACCGAATTTTGAACTGTGTTACCCATCCGTCACTCAAGAAAAAACGGCGTCAACTCGAGAGACGGATGGGTAATACGGTGCAAAGTTCTGTGACCGTTGAGATATATTTTAAAGTTCGGTTATGAAGTAGTAACACTTGACGAAGTTCAGTGACCATTAAATTACATTTTTAAGTTCAGTGACTAAGTAGTAACATAGGGTAAAGTTTGGTGACCATTCATATAATTAACCCACAACAAATCTTTTCTCCTTCCTTGTGTCGAGCTCCTATTCATCTGTCGCTTTCCCTTCCACTGCCAAGGATGATGATGCCGCTGATTCGGTTATGGTTACTGTTCAAAGACGCATTATGCTCTAAGACGAGAGATAAATATAGACATCCCTTACCCTTATTTTTTTTAAATTATTTTCTTTTACATCAAATTGAATATTTATTAGATGGCGTACTTTTAAATTATTTGTATTAGGGCTTGCTTTTCTGGAAGCTATTATTTCTGCTTCTCTTCTTTCCAGTTATACAGCTGCACTTACCAGGTATTTACGGGTTTAATCAACATAAATAAAGTTCCTTTTAAGCACAATGTTTGAAGCAATTTTCCAATTTCTTAAGGATGAGGATTGAGTGGATTGTGTATTTACTAATTACGACTTAGGTTTCTTATCTTCATGAAAATGGCATCGGTTATCAAATATCAGCTTCCCTTTGGCCCTTTATCACAAGTCTTCCTCTGTTAATAAGTTTTTGTCAAGTCCTATGTTATTTAATTACAGTATTTCTCTCTTATTTATAGGATTCCCTATTCTATGAGTTCACTGACAGAAGATGAAAAATCTGGACTTGCGGTTGTCGATTGGGATGAAACCTGATCAAAAAGGTGTTTGTATAAGAAGAATTGGTCCCACTACTCCATAATTCAAAATTTTGAAACCATCTGATGTTATCCTTAGCTGTGATAGAATTGATATTGCCAATGATATGGACTAGGTGATTGAGACAAATGTTCTGATGGCTGTAAAGGGAGAGATACAATTCTCACATCCCATCTCAGTGCCTCCCTATTCTTCTATATGCATAAGTGTAAATATTTTCTACTATTTAAACTTTAACTCCAGTTAAAATGAAAATTGTTGTTATATCTCACGAATAGGAAATTTTAGTTTCTAAATATAGCACAATGCAAAATATCATGGAAGAGAAGCCTTACACTCATGATAAAGGATAGTATAGGAATTTTCATCAAGTGAGATTTAAATATATCAATAGAGACATTGCATAATGAGTGCTATTTGTTCTCTTCATATCATTTATAAGGTTGTGATTCTTCTCTGTAGTTTGATGATCGGAATACTATAGATGTCAGAACTTGCAATAGATTAAAACACGACTTGTAAATCCTTTAGTTAAGCATCATTAAACATACGAATACATTAGATATTCCGAAGTAGATATGCTCTCTCTTTTTCCCCGAAATTTCAAGTTGAATTTGGCAGGTGGATGTATGATTTCTCATGCATGTATCAACAAAATACTTTGCCTCTTTTGGATTTCGCAATGTCTCTATCATGCTATATATTGAGATGAATCTTAAGTTTAGAAAATATCTTTTATTGTAGTAAACACTAACTTATTTTGGTCATTTTGCAATTCCATCTAGACACAGACTTGTAGATATTTCTGATATGAGTTTTCCAGTTTTTGTTTGTGATTTTACGTAGAACTGAATCAGGGACATTTAAGGATGGTGTTTTGCTTGTCAACAAAGATGGAGTTCGTATTATTTCGTAGAGTGAAGTTGATGCTGGTTGTATGATTATTTGAAAATGGTTACTAAATGATCTCTAAAGACGAAAGACGGCATAAAAATTGGGGCTTTAAAGAAGGAGGCAATAAATGCTTCAAACAAGTTCACTCATTCTCTTAAGAAAAGGGGGAAAAGGAGAATTCACTACAGGGTTTTTTCATTTCCGTCGAGGATGTAACAATTCAAGAGAGGAAAGTTATGTCTGTGATATGCGTCAAAAACTCCTTCAGTAGATCTGAAAAAGGTAATTTGTGTTCATAGAATTAAGGTCATATGTTGTGCATGACATTTGAAGTATTTTGTTTGCTGTTCCTCAAAATAAACTTGTGATACTCTAATATTTTGCTGGATCACTTGTTGTCTTGGTGATAGAAGAAACAATCGGTTCAAATATCTCTACTTATTGATTTGGTCATATTGATATTTATTATTTGATCATTGATAATGATTAGTTTATTTTCTCTTATGTTAATTATTGCAAGCACTTTTTTATGTGTTTGGGTACCTCTATCCAGTGTTGGCAGCATTGTCGATCTGTTAGTTTAAATATGGTAGCATATTGTTCACTGCTTGTGCTAAGGATGCTAATGTACAAATTTTTCTTTTAACTTTTCGGATTGGAGAGTCTGAGTGATGCTACTTGTGAGTGGTTTTTTATCAAGTTGAAGGAAGTGATTGGAGATAATGAAGAGTTGACTGTAATTTCAAACATGGATACAAGTATCAGTAAAGCCCTTGAAAAAAGTATCCAACAGCTACTTATGGAGTATGTTGTATGCACAAATAATCTGCTAAACAATATGCATCTAAAATTTGGAGATATAGGCAAAGATCAATTTATTTCCTTTTCTAATATGCACAAATCATCTGCTAAACAATCATGGCTTTTTTTCGCTGCATGGAAGCTACTTAAATTCAATACATTAGCAAAAGCAATTTATGGTCAAAATCATAAGGTACTTCATTAATTTTCTTCTTTTCTTTTTATTTCATATTCGATTTGTTTTAGTGTAGATATTGTTATAGTTCAAATGCACGTTCAAATTATAAAACATTACTAAGAACATTTCTATTCTCCTGAATCAAAAAAGGATATTTTATGTGCTTCATGTTAATGTTGCCTTCTAGAATTTCATCGAATTTTGTAATTAGTATACCTGGGATGATTATTTCTTCAAGGATAGAAATTATGGATAAAATAAATAACTCATATGCCTAATTAGATTATCCATGGTGTCTTCAGTCATTTGGTTAAATCCTCTAGGGCCTAAGATAGTGATATTTGTCGGAAGTAATAGCTAAAATTACTGAAAAAGGACCGAGTAAGATAGTGCCAGGGTTGCCAATTAAACGATGTAAAGATCACTTTGCTCTGGCATGAAAAAAGAGCTAATGAAAGTATTATCAAACCAAACTAAAACAAGCTGATATAGCATCAAAACATTTCCACTTTTTTTTTTTTTTCATTCAATATTAAGATATTCTTTTGCATAGTTTTTTGAAAATTTGTGAAAAAAAATGCACATAAACATGAATAAACTTTAAATGCATTTATTGAATATAACTTCTATTAAAAAAAGAAGATGATTTTCTAAAAATTAAATTAAGTGGTGATGTAAGAATGAAAATTTTTTAAGGACCTGATTTACTTTTGATTATTGGATATTAGATCAGTAACAATAGGAGCTTTTGTCTTTATCATTTAATTTATGATTGTTTTTATTCTTTTATCTCGTATTGGTTTATGTTCTTAACATTATACGGGCTTTGTTTTATAATTTCAACACATTTTGTGTGTTTCCTTTTGAAATTCAGAAACTGTATCTATTTCTTCTTTTGATGGTGTATTTATCCTTTACTCATAATTTCTTTTAGATTCACACAATCCCTTCGCTCATAAAATAGTGAACATGCAATATACTGTTCATTCTTGGCTACATCTATTTTACAAAGATTAATGTTCAATTATCTTCTTTTACAGTTTCAATAAGATCATTTGAAGAAGAGATGAGAGAGTCATCAACTTGAATCTAATAGCAATAATAGTAAGAGTCCTCTGCTCCTAAAATCAGTTATGGTGTTTAGTATTGAAGTCTATATTTTTTATTCTGCCTTAGTTATATATATTATTTAAAATTTTATTTGGTCAACAATTTTTTACATGGAATGGACGCAATTATCATTCCCTCAGTATGTAATAATATTATTTCTATGAATTAGTGATTGCAATCCATGAAACATACAGTAAAGATTTATGATAAAAGATATTTAACCGATTAATAAGGAACAAATTAGCATAACATAATATAGTCTAATCCAACTTCTATCTTTGTAGCTTTATCGAGATGATAATTCAACACTCTATCCATCATGCATGATTTATCATCTCCAGATATAGGATCACCATCATTAAAAGTTTGTTGGTTAGATTTCAAATTTGTATTTATCAGTTTGCTATAATAAGAAATCCAAATTTTGAAATCTTAGTAAACAAAAGGTGTTCCAATATAATAGTTTGTCCCTTTATTTTTCTCCTTTTAATCATTTTCAAGAGAATAATATGATTGAATAATTTGAATAATAAAGTTGATAATATTGGTTCATTAATTAAAAAAATTAGATTTTTTCAACTACAAGAGATTAAGGGGAGGAATGTGTTTCACATGTACACATGCATTACTTCTACTTCATTACACTATTGAATAATTTATATTAGTCTAAGTGAATTTGTAAGAATTATCAAGAATAGCTTAATTTTGTACAAGTTTTTGCCCAGAACTTAAATAATACATCCACGAAAATCACATGTTTGTAAGTGTGAACATGTTAGTTCATGCAAGAAATTAAAGAATGATTCTAAATAGATGTAGGATTAATTATTCCTTTGAAATGCTCTATGAGCACAAGTTTAGTTCATCTATTCTGATGTCAAAAATATCTTAACGTTGAAAGATAATATTGCTCGAGAAGAAAGATTCTATGAATTGATTGCAAAGAAAATCTAATGGCATTGTCTTCTAAACATTTAAGACTTCCAGGTCGAAGAAATTGTTTGAAGTTTGCCTCTATGCAATCACATGTTTCACCTACCTTGCATTTATACGTAACTTCTTAGACATGGATCTAGCCTAATGTACAGGAGAGGCCTGTAATCTCTCTTCTGTGTAACATATTATCACCTCTCCATTAAAAAGTCAACACTTCATTTATTGTGCATTCTTCAGTTTGCCTCTTTTGACATTTTAACTGTATTGATATTGTTCAGCCCTCAATGAAATCATTGAATCTCTGTAAGTTTTCTTTAATTTTCTTCAGGGCCTATAGGAATCAATAGTTCATCGAGTTCGGAGTTGGGTTTGCCCCTTGTTTTGTTTAATTCACGAAGACAGGTAAAAATTTGATCTTTAACTACTTAATTGTTGTTCATGTGCTTCAATTTTGAGATTAGCTCATTATTTTGAGTAATTTGCTTCTATATACATATTTTGTTTCGATCTGATTGATTAATATAATTTTTGCTATCTTGAGAGTGAATTATTAGCATTTTTTGTTCTTTCTTGTTGTATTAAATTGTGGGGACTAACGATTAAGACAGTATTGGCTTTTAGAAGCGAAAACCTAAGGTCAAGATGTGCATTGCTTTGGTGCTCTGTTATGAAATCATAATTATTAAAATCGAGACTATGCTAGGTGTGCGTTCAATCACCATAGGATCAATATAATCAATTGTTTCTTTCATTTCTACCAATGGCATCCTCTAGAATAGATAGTAGGCTTGCTAACAACTTTGTAAGATTTTCCCCCATTTACTTTCTATGTTCATGTTCACTAATTGCCTTTTCCTTTTTTGGGCTAAAGTATTTTCAGAGAGAAAATGAAGTATGTTTTGGTGGTGGAGTGGTTATTGGTTTGGAGAAAGGAGTGACTGTAGGCAGTATTGGTCTCATCCTTAAGGCCCGTGGACTTCGAGTTACTTCCATCACGATTAGTTTTTTTTTTTTTTTTTTTTTTTTTTTTTTTTTTTTTTTTTTTTTTTTTTTTTTTTTTTTTTCTCTTTTTCTTATTCTTGTTTTTGTTTATTTTTCTTCTTCCTTCCATTGTCTATCTCCTTTTTTTGAACTAAAATTCTTGGGCTTTAAGCTCTGTGATGAAATACAAAAGAAAATTTTAATATGCTTTCTTTTTTGTTTTCTTTTTCATATTGTGTTTTCAGAAGCCATAAATATTACCTTTTTATACTGTGACAAGAGATTAGACAATGTTAGATTTCGCCTTTTTCTAAACCATGAGGAAAATTTCGCACTTTTTTTTTCATCTTCCTATCACTTTGCATTAAAATATATTCTTCTGATTTTTCAAATCTTCCTTTTACTTCTTTAATATCCTATAACCTTTTTTTATGAATTTTCTTTTTAGTTTCAACAATAATTTTCTCATTTGTCTCTGTTTTGTACTATTCAGATCTCTACTTGAATACTAATGTCAGAACAATGTCACCTTTTGTGCATGGAGAAGTATACGTCTTGGACGATAGAGGAGAGGCTAGAAAAGCTTCCTTTAATCAAGCTTAGTTTGTTTAGATTTGTACATTTGGTTTCACTTAAATTTAGTTTATGCACTTTTTTTTATTACGGTGTTAAATCTTGCTTGAAATTGTAGTTAATAGTTAAATTTTCCTCATTCGGGGTACTGATTATTATTATCCATATTTTTTCATTATCAAAGGTATTGAATAAATGTGAAGTAGATGATTGGAACTTTATATCATATGTGACTACTAAAATGGAGGTAGCACAAACGATTTGGCCACTACTAAAATGGAACAGATAATGAAAAAACCAACATCAGAGGGAAAAAAGGACACAAGAAGCAGGCTTTGAGTTTTGATATCCATTTGTCTTTGCTTTAACTCTAATTTCACTCTTTCTCTCTGGATCGTAGAAAAGACACCCAAAGAATTTGTAGATAACTCAGACATATACATGTTTAAATTGGTTTAGCATCTTTGGTGATTCGCGTTAAAAATATTATGATTATTCGAACAAGTTTTGAAGTTCTTCATCGTCGATCCAAGTAAAGGCCTAATTGATTTCTAGGTATACCGTCTTTCTTTTGCACTTGAGGAACATGTTCTAATTTTCATTTTTCAATAGTTGAGTCAAACCATTCTTCATCTTCAATAACTTGTTAATTGAGTTCTAATCCGTATAAGAATGACTTTAAATTGTAATAAATGTAAAATATGCTTCAAATTGATCATAATTTGTAGTGAACTTCTTGTCTTCTATCGGGTTATAAGAATGTCATTTCTTGATGTTTTCAAGTGGCAGAACACGCTAGATTATATGGGGAAAATGGTGAGTACCTTGTTTGAATGATGCTTTGACTTTATTTTCAAGATTTCCGCTATGGTTGTAATTCAAGATGGTTAGACCATTGTATTATGTTATAAATATATCTATTTGGTTGCAAGTTATACTGAACGTGTTTCAACCCTCTTGAAAGTTATATACACACACATAAGTATAGTGAATACTTTTGGTTTAACTTGTGTAATTCTATATGGAGCCATAATTTCAGTTGTCGAATTTTTTTACTGGTTAAATTATTTAGCTAAGCATATAAGGTAATTCCTTAGATGTATCGTGTGGAGTGTAAACTTTTATTGTCTACATTGATTGTAGAGTAGCAATCTTCAAACATAAATTGGAGTTTAGTGATTCAAGTGTAAAAGAAACTAATGGGAATACAGTTGGCAACTCAACAAACGGAGTTACCTCATACGGATGAACTTAGTTTCACGGATATAGAGTTGGATTATCATGCTAAGAATGCCCTCAAAGTTGTTGTCCAGATACACATTCATGGTTAATATTATGAAATTGTGTAGATTGATGTGATTCTCAGCCTTTTAGGAGGTACACTTGTCCTAGAGCGCATTCGTCCAACTATGCTTAGTGATGTTCAAAGTAAAGTATGATTCTATTTCATTCAAAAAAATATAGGGACTAAACAAAAATTTATTTTTGAGTTTTTCTAAATGATTTCATTTTTTGAATAAGATGGGAGCTGCAGAAACAACAACATTTGAAGAGGTCCAGAACATTTTTGACAAAGGTGGGGCAAAGGGTTTGGCTAGAGACATAGTCGAAAATACCCCAAAGATTACAATTGGTAAAAAAGTAAATGTTGATGCTTCTGGGGAGTCTCTCTTCTCCAATCTAATTTCAAGTATTATTGATCATGAATAATAATGTTTCTTTATTAGTCGGCTTGATTGCAAAGAAAATCTTATGGCATCGTATTCTAAACTTCAAAACTTATAGGTCAGGGAAATTGTTTGAAATTTGCCTCAGTGCCACCACGTTTCAACTCCTTGCATTGATATCTAGCTTCTGGGACATAGATCTTGCACAATGTCTATGAGGGGGCAGTAATCTTCTCCTCTGTAACTTATCATCACCCCTCCATTAAGAGAGTAAACACTTCATTTATTACGCATTCTTCGGTTGACCTCTTTCATACTTTAATTGTATAGGTACTATGCAGTCATGATGATATCTTTGAATCTATATAAGTTTTCTTCTGTGCCTACAAGAATCAAATCGTTTATTGAGTTTGGAGTTGGGTTTCCCCCTTTGTTTTGTTCAGTTCATGAAGACAGGTAAAAAATCCGTTATTCCTTTGACTTTTTAATTGTTGTTCATGTGCTTCGACCTTTTTTGCGTGACGTTTGTTTCAATGAATATCTACGATTTCATCCTCTCAGTGTAATTGTTGCAACTCCTTTTTTTTTAATTAGTTTATTATTTCGAGCAATTTGCTTCTATATTCATTTTGTTTTTATTTGATTGACTAAATTTATACTTTTTGCTATCTTGACTGTGAATTATTAATATTTGTTATTCTTTCTTGTATTAAATTGTGCTGACTAATGATCGAGGCAATGTTCACTTTCAGACGTGAAAACCTAAAGTCAAGATGTCATTGCTTTGGTCCTCAGCTCTGGAATAATAATTATTAAAATCGAGATTGCTATGTGCGCATTCAATCACAATAGAATTAATCGATGGCATCCTTTGGAAATCATAGTGGATTTGCCAACAACTCTAAGATTTTTCATCATTTTACTTTCTAGGTTCAAAACAAATTACTTTTCTTTCCTTGGGCTAAAGTATTGTTGAAGAGTAACAGCAAGCAGTTTTGGTCTCATCCTTAAGGCATGTTGATTTCGTGTTACTTCCATCATGATTTGTTAAATTTTTTCTCCTTTTCTTGTTTTTATTTTCTTCTATTGTCTATCTCCTTTTTTGGAGGTATGAAGTACAATACAACACCCTAATATGTACTTCTACTCATTAACCTTTATTCAATTAGTGCACATCTCTTGTTAATCCTTCACATTAAACACGTTAACATTACCTTCAAAATGATATAACCCGTGCATTGCACGGGCAAAAAACTAGTTAATTATTAATATTCTATTAATTTAATATATCAAGGTCACAAAATGTATAATTCATGGTCATAGATGGTACTTATAGGTCACAACGTCATATATTGTCAAATTAATTTATCACAGATTATTTTATCGATCACAAATTAAGGTCACAATTTACTTGTTGATCACAAATTTTCAAATTATTTGGTTACAAATGATTTTTTAATAACATATTATCATATTTTTAGTGACAGTTAAATCCTTAGTCACAGATAACCAAAAAATCAGTCACATACACCAAATAGCGGATCACATACAATCGCCACCAACACTACCATTATTGCCACTATAACCACAGTTAAATACTTGATCATAGATAACCAAAAATTTGGTCACATGCACCAAATAATGGGTCACATGCCATTGCCACCAACCTGCCACTGCCACTACGATCACAGTGAAATATTTGGTCACAGATAATCAAAAACCAAACAATAGATTACATACGATCGTCACCAACACTAACTCCAATCGAAATGCACCACCATAGGCACCAGTACCACCACCACCATTTTGCAACCCACCATCAACAACTTGCAATACTACCATCACAGCACCACCACTAAACAACCACCAACATAGCTGGTCCACTACCACCTCACCACTACAACCACCACTAACAACAACCATTTGCAAAACTGAAAACAATTAAACCACGCACAACTAACATCAAAACAATAACAAAAAAGAACACCGCCACCGATCGCGCTTTGCTTAAGAAGCCTCTACGGCGACGGTGTGTCGTTCTCAATCATCATGTCACTTCTCTGACGTTAAGCTATGCTGTGAAACGGCACTAACAGTGATCGAAGGCAATTGTAGTGAAACACCATTTGGCGACAACTGCCATGTGCAAGGGAGAGTATAAAAGAGAGGAGGGGAACAAGAGGAAGACCGCCGCTCGCTGCTCTCGCGATGAGCTTCGTTGTGATCCGACAACGACGACCATGTGGAGGGAAGAAGATAGAGAGAGAGAGAGAGGGAGAGCGCCACTTGTTGTATCCGCTATGATTCAGTGACGGTGGTAGCGATGAGCTCCGCTGATCTAGAGACAGCGGTCGTCGAGAGATTGACTAGAGATGACGGGGAGAAGAGGGGATGAAGAGGGAGAAAATAATTAGGTTTTTAAATTTGAATTGGATGAATGGGATGTGGTAAGAGTATATTAAAAACCTGATTTTTGAATAAGTATACTTTAGACCTTATTTTTGAAATCTGATCTTTAAACACTTGTATAAGTGTAATTTCCACCATTATCTATTTATACAAAATAATTGGGCCTAAAATTATATAAATAAGTGGGCTTAAAATTAAAACAAAGACATTTGAGGTGGGCTAGCCCATTGAAATTAATTGTTGCTGGGCTAATGTGGGCTAATAGATTATAATTCAAACAAAAAAATTAAAAATTAAAAATTGGTGCAAATTGGACCTGGACAACAATGGGTTGCAGCCAAGTACAACAATAATTTTATTTTTATTTTTTTTGCATTTGGACCTGGGCAACAGTGCTGCCAAGTGCAACCCACGATTCAATACGCCCATGGTCCTAAAAGTCTACTACAATAATAAGCTCTTTGATTTAATGAAGTATTTAGGCAAAAGAATTGAATTGTATGCAAACGCGAAAATGTTTAATTGTGTTAAAAAAAAAGTCAAGTTAATTTTAGTTATATATTGTTGGCTATGATTTATTTTCTATTAAAAAAAAAAAGAAAAAAAAAAGCCCATACTTCAATCATGTTTGACTAAACAAATCATCTCTTAGCGTGAGCTTAAATCTACAAGTACAATACAACCTTAACGAGTTTGAAAGCTTAAAATATATGGTTTTTTTTTTTTAATAATAATAATAAAGCAGATTGAATGATTATAAAGACGACTATGAAAAGACATTATAAATAAAGGGCACGTGTGCTATACATTTCCCCTTAATTACTGTTTTTTTAACAACTTATTTTAGAAATAAGTGCTCTGAATTCTTGTCTTTTTACTATTTTTGGTCTATCTTGTTAGTCTTAATCTCGGTGTGTTTTCTTTTCTTTTGCCAAAAAATTGAAAAATATGATCGTTATCCATCTCATCAAACTATTATATTTGACTTTATTTCTCTTATGTGGATCCTGTAATAGTTATTTTTTTTATTCTCATTTTTATAAAAATGAGAATCAAATAGGAGTTTAAATTGATTGTACAGTATTAATCTATTTTTATCATAAAAAACACTACACTAACATAATAATTGACATAATTTTAAATATCATATCACATGACAATTTATTATTAAACTATTTAAAATATAGTTAACTTTTTTCATCAAATTACATCATGCCAACACATATTCTGTCACTCTCTCCGTCACACACTTTCTAACACAGAAGTACTATTCTTTTATCACCCATTGTTAGAGGTGATTTGACCTTTCAATTATAGTTGTACGAATCTATGTGACCTTTCGTTGTAGTTGTACGAATCTATTTGAAATAGATCTTTCAAAAATTTCTATTAATTTATCGTGTAACCCTCGTTTTATCTACTTCATAAAGTTAGATTTTGTTCTCAACTTAAGTCGATATTCAAAATTTCAAAATGAAACATATTTTTATAATGAGTAATTATCAAAAAAAATCTTTACATTTTTTTTTTTAAAACATTTTTACATTTCATTGTTGAAAGCGTTATTTTCATCCAAATTTTCAATAAAAATGTAAAATGACAAAATATACCATCCTATTTGAATAAAACAAAAAAAAAAAAAGAAAGAAATTTTTTAAAAATTACAATTATACTTCCAAACTTTTTTAAAACTTCAAATGAGTCAAAATAAATTATTAAAATGATAATTATGTCCATACTTTTAAATTTATTGAGTAAAACATCATGATCTTTCATTTTTGATAATTTCACATTTATTTCACATTTCATCATTTCCATTTTTTCAATTAAAAAATGTAAAATAAGGTTATATCATCATATTTAAATAAAAAAAATAAAGAAAAGAAAAACAAAGAACAAATTACATCTATACTCCCAACTTTTTAAAAAAAGTGCAAATAAATTTCAAATAAATAATTAATATGTCCTCTTATTTAAATAAAACAAAGAAAAATAAAAGAAAAATGATGAACAAATTACAACTATACTTTTAAAATTTTCAAAGAAGTACAAATAAATTATAAATAAATAATAAATTTTTAAAATTAAAAAATCACTTTCTTTTTTAATTATTTCTTTGAAATTTATTTTTACTTTTTTGAAAAATTTGACAATATAGTTACAATTTATTCTTTATTTTTGTTTTATTTAAATATGAAGATATATTCGTCAATTTATATCTTTTAATTGAGAAAATGGATAAAAATGATGATTTTCACAGTGCAACGAGAAAATAACGATGAAACATGTAAAAAAAAAAAATGAAATGTATGAACGTTTTACATAATAATATTGAAATGTAAGGACATTTTGTGTTAATTACCATTTTAATAATTCATTTACAGTTTTTTTTTTAAATTGAAAGTATAATTGCAATTTGTTCTTTAATTTTTCTTTTATCTTTTTTTCTTAGAAGTACAAAACAAATTCTTCACTCTAAACAATAAGAATGTGTTGATCGTAAGCATGTAATTTACATTGGAAGAAAATAAATTTTAGGTAATTTAATTACCTAAAACTTATATATATGAAAATTGTCAATTAAATATGTTTGATTAATTTAATTTTCAATCTAGATAATATTATACTTATTTGTTTTTTTACTGGTGGATAAGTGAAAGAGAGAATAGATGAGAGAGAGAGAGCGAATTTCCTATAAAATAAAATTCTACTCCTTTAAAGAAAATATTTTCCTTGATTTTAAAAATAATATGATCACGTGACTAAAAATAAGAAAATATTTTTCATTAAAAAAATGGCAATCAAACAATATAAAAAGTAAGAATTTGGGTAAAAAAATATTTTTCATTGAAAATATTGACAACCAAACACACTCTAACATCAACTTGCTTTGAAAAATCGCTATACATTTAATTTAAATTCTTAATTTGTTTTTTATTTTTTAAATATTCGAATGAAAGAAGAGATATTTAGGGATAGGATTAGTTTGAAAAGGAGCACTGATCAAGGTTCACGAAGACCGCGACACGTGCACTAAGCAGCTCCCAATGCCTTGAATCGTGATAAATCCCATGCTTGCCTGTCCTCTCGGACATGGACACGTGCCAATGCCTCTTCCTAATAAAACTACAAATATATAATTAGACCCTTTTTAAACCCATTATTTTCTCATTAAAATAAAAAATATGATCAAGATCCATTATATTAAGTCATTATATTTGACTTTTTATTTTTTATATGGGGTTCATTACGACTGTATTTTCCATTCTCATTTTTATAGTAATTTGGCTCAAACTTGGGTCTAGGATCAACAAATACGTAAATAGCTTTACAATTTAAGGGTTTGTATTTCTAAATTTTAGTCAAATCCAAAACAAATCATTTTGATTCGAGGTTTCGTATTTCTTTAGGGATTTAATTTTTATTCAAATCCAAAAGAAATCATTTTGATAAATAAAAATGTATTTTCACTTTATACTATTTGGGTGTGTAATAAAAATTTAATTTCGAATCAATTATACAAACTAATTAGGTTTATAGCGAAGTTTGTATGTACAATATCTTGGAAGTAGTTAATCTAAGTTTAGGCATATCGATATTAGAACAGACAAATTAATTTATAATCTATCTTTACAGCTTACAATTCTCTAAGACCATCTCCAATGATACATTTGACGTAAAATTCACTTCAATGGTACACCAAACTTGACGTAAGGAATAATGTTACGCTAAATTTTTGTTCGATCCATATCCTTATTTTTTTG